ACGTTGCGGTTCTTCCGGTCACCTTATTCCTTATGCGTGTCGACTATTTCTCACTGCGGAAGAGTCACGCTGATGACAATCAAAGCTGCATTAGCTGAGCCCGTAACTTGGCGTTTCACTGTCGCTCAAAGATACGACGGTCTGGAAGACGCCAACGCCAAGAAAGCTGTTTCGCCCACGGCGCTCAATTAGGAAGATACCGTAAGATCCTTGAGACACATCAACACGTTGACAGTGACAAACATTATAAATGGGACCATCTTTGTGTAATAATATAAAGTAACGACGAAGTATCTGCTTGTACCTAGAGGGTCAAAGAAACCTGTCGAAAATCACATGCTTATAATGTGATAAACAAGTGTTCGTGGAACTGTTTCAAATCTTTGGATTACTGGTAACAGTATGGAAATTAGACACCGGTTGTTCCAACTTCAGTTACCTCATCGTTCCTTGCAAAGATAAGGGCACAGTTCAATGAAGTAATTTCTATGGATAACACGGATTAGCGTCACAGGAAAACCGTAGCATCAATCAATGTCATTCTTGCTTACCAACATTTCACAAGTCGAGTGACCAGCAATAAGAAGCGGTACATATTTGAAAATGATTCTATCCCACACGGGCGCTATTATCGGTATGAAGTTGACAATCGATAGGAGGTCATTACTTACAGCAGTGCATCAGGCCAAATAGCAGTGTAATGTAATGAAATGTAATGAACAATGATAAGACAAGAAAAGAATGTTCGTGTCCTCAAAAGGAGAAATTCGGATAATACATGAGGGCAACGTCTAACAGGAGAGAGACTCTTGGGAATATAGTAGAACTGGATTAACAAAAAGTAACGGTTCATGTACGTAACATTAACCTGCAAATCAACTCTTCAGACATGCTGTATCGTTTAGCATTCCTGTAAACCGTAAACATCCCACAAATGAAGTAAACGAAATACAAATACACCTACTTTTACGGATTGCAGCATAGTTCGGTCCATCTTCAACCTCTGTGGCGCTTGATCGTTTGATGAAGATACACCGACGTCGTATTCTTTCAGATGGTCTAAAATATAAAATAGTACTTAAAAGAAAAACGTCGCTTTATTCAACTAAGCTAACAATCATACACTGATTTATTTATAGCTCAAAACGTTGGAAGAAAAAGAACTGAATGAAAACACCTCAAGTGAATAACACTGAAGCAAGGGTATACAGGCATTTTCAATCTCTATGAATACAGGTGCTTGCTAAATATGTGAAACTAATATCTGATATTCAGATGATACCGACTGTTTCGTGCAGAAACAACAAACAAAAATTTGTTAGCTCTCACTTTACAAACTGAAAAAATTTTAATCACTCATCATGCATTTTTTCGAAACTTTCAACAGCCACGGAAGTGTTATGCTTCTTCGGAACCATGTTCTTAGCTTTCGAAACGGCGAACGAAAAACTTACGACGAACCATAAACTGAATATGGAGGTCCTTTAGAGGCTACAATATTGGACCTATTAAAAGCCTACATGGTGGAGTAAAATTACTTTCGTTTCTACCGCGACCTTGATCAGCAAGCCAAATCGTCACCTGTAGCTCATAGTCAGCCATCACCAAAAGTAGCCAATATAATCACTGCACAACTTTAAACTCGATGTTCACAATGCAAACCAAAGACTAATGGATGGCATCTGTCCATTATGCATGAAATAGACAAGAAACTTGGTTTTGAACCAGTCAAAACTTCAGTCCCAAACAAACACTTCGTTAAAACGATTCTTAAAAAAAATGGCTTGATCTGTCGTCTGGAATTTTCTTAGACACCGGAAGAGGAGCATATTATATCACCAAATTCTTCACAAACAAATCTACACCAACCGTTTTCTAAATCATAACTCAGATCGTCTAATGTCTATTAGAAAAGGCATCATCAACACCTTAGTTTACAGGTATGCGCAAATAACGCATAAAGAAAAAGGCACACAAAAAGCTAGGTAATGCTTTAAAACGTTTCACGAAAAATGAATAAACAATTAAACATTACGAAAGGAATAAATAAAAACAAGAAAAGAAACGTTCGAACCAGACTCAGAAGTCAAATCGGTAGGACAAAAGCACCCCAAGAGTCGCAAAATCAAATCTGTGAGAAGTTAAAGAAGAAAAGTTTTAAAACTTACTGTAAAGTTGTTTCTTCGAATCTGATCTGAAGTTCCGTAGTCAGATCAGTCATGAAGGATCCACCGAAAAAATAAAACTGAATCGACGAGATCCCTTACGAACAATTAGCATTGTACATTTAAAGTTGTCAACAGACTCTTAATCATAAGCAATATTATATATCATCTGCAGTACATCACATGACGGTAAATCGATATAAGGGAATATAAAAACGACCGAGATGGTACGGAACATGGAAATAGATTGATATTAGCAGAATATGCTGGGAAGGAAACTTACACTGTTCAACCAAAAGATGAAGGACAATGACAACAACTAAAATATAAAGAAAACGATCAAAATGATAACTCATTACACAGTAAGCTGATGCTTCAATAGACGTAAATAGAAAACTTGTCATTAACTTAGATACAAAGGACTGAAAGGTTATCGAGACCACCTAAGATTAGTCTGCCTCTGAATGTGTATATATAAGCCGTACAACGACACAACATATTCAGTGTACTTACCTATGCTTCAACTTTCACTATACAATGTTAATGAATATCAGTTCACTGCAAGGTGATTAAGGTCCTCGACCAAGGATATGGTTATCTGATATGTCAGGTGACGAATAAGTAATATCGGAGCGCGGAGTAAACCATCTGAAGAATACGTGGTCAATCTAGAACTTTCCATTCAACAAATTCATGGCTCGCTTTTTGAAAAGAAACTCAGCTGATTCTGGTGCCTAGTTTTTGGTACGAAACTCACAATATTCCACAGTATCTCAGGAAAGAAAAAGACAGGTAAACAAAACAATAGCCGTAAATATTGACACTTTTCACATCAGTGTCACAAAAAGGCATGAACAACCTTCCCTGAAAATCTTAATAACGACTTTACCTAAGAGAGGAGAAATAATTCTGCTAAAATAAACTTACAGACCATTTATAGCATACACGGAAAGTCTCGAACGACAAATTTCCATTAATACGCCAATCCACATTCGTTACAGTCTACGATGCAGGATTTCGATGGAGAAATCATATACCAGAACTCTTCACGAAGAAGGGACGTATCGTTAAAAAAATTATGGCAAAAGTTTACATTGCAATTTCGACATGATGTGCATATGCATAACGGCATCGACTAAAAACTTTCCCAAACTACATGCTTTAAATCTGACAGCAATAGTTTCTTTACATCATGGGAGGTGTTTATTGGCGTTTGTAAGCTGAACGTTGAATGGGACACAAACCACCATGGTCAATTAATTTTCAAACCTCAAATTCCACCATTCTATTGTTTATTATCTACTTTAAGTTTTGGAAAGACTTTAAGACGAGAGTCATATGCATTGTAAAAAATACAAATTAAGCTACCTGACTCGAACGCAATTCGCGTGGTCGTCGCAGAACAGCCACGGTAGACGTACAGCTTCTCAATTGACAGCGGCGCGGCGATAGTCATGCATTCTTTATTTGCGGGTTGTGTCTCAGTATAGGAAGGAGCACTCTCTGCGACAGCCTCAGGGAGTGGCAAAGAAGCGGCAGGTCGCGACATGACGAACTTTAACGGGTTGGATGCGAATTTTGAACCAAGGGTAACCCGTGACAAATTTTTCAAGCTGACCGTTTTAATAGCTGGGCGATCGATGGCGACGCAAAAAAGGGCCTCGACCAGATTCACCAAACTTCGCACCGCATAAGGCCGCAGAACGCCGGGGCGAAGCCAATTGATTGACGATTCCGGACATTCAACCGAGAGATAAAAATTGGGCTTACTGGCAGAAACAACGTAGTCTGAACACTTTAGAGCAATGAATTTGATCAGTTCATCACAGACCTAAAATTATTATCTGAATCAATGAGCAATCGCTCAAACAAACCACACACTACATATTATATTACAGGAACTAGCGTAAAATATAATGGCAACACAGTATATCCTAATTCTGCAACTGCTCAAGTCGTCTTGAGCACAACGCACCTCATAGGCATACTCCACATGGCTAAACACGGCTTTAGGGAAAGTCAAAACGAGTGCCTCAACAGTATTATGAAGATATTTAATAAAAGTAAGTAGAACCAATGGTAATCTTTGTCATCAATGGGCCACGCTTAGGCCTAAGAAGAACAAAGCAATCAGCCTCATAAAACTGAAGTACCAAGGCTGACTGCAGTTATTTTCTTATGAAGAGTGAAAAAAGTCAAATATAAGCAATCGTTAATTAACGCTTGTGCAGTCAGTCGTAATTAACCTACTTTTTGACAATATTATTTGGTGTATAGCTGATTTTTGCCAATTACAGAAAACATATCTCTATCATAATCGCACTCTAATCACATGTCAAAAACTTGCCAACAGGCACTGACATATCCTAAGATTAATTTAGAACATTTTGGACGTTATTTAATGTACTTCAGTGAAACGTTTCGGCGCTTCAGCAATTCTGAACATTAACTGCTGACTAAAATTTCAACTTTGCGGCCTGTTGAAAACCGTTTCGAAACATTTACAGGTGTTCACGCCACCTCTTGTAATATACTGGAATTGCTGTTAGGACTCCCCCATCCTCCATCCACACTCAATTAATAAAGGCGCATAAAATGGGTAGGATTTAAGAGCAATTTTCTTGAAATTCATTGATAACTCACAGCTTCCAACTACAGTGCATTTCCAGTAACTCAATGCAAGCTGAACAGTGTTAAAAATTCTGCAGAGGTCAGAGCAAATTACGTATCCTACCATTTCGTGGACTTTACAGTGGTCGATCGGAATTCCGTTGACGGAAACGACTTCTACGCGGTTGCCTCGTAAGTCCTCACTTTCGTTGGTCCAAAGATTGAACTTCGACTCGACAACGACGCTGTTGATAAAAACTGGGACAAAGCCACAACCGAGGTGAGGCTTGAAGAGTTGCGAGTAAGCGGAAACCAGGTCTGACGTCGGCTCATAGTGGAACATTTTCCGCTGGCTCTCGCCATCGATTAGAGAAATTCGCAGTTCAGGTTGACACATAGCAAAGGACTGCAGTTTTTTCACCAGTTCAAGTCGCATATTTTCAGCATCGACTAAACAAACTTCCTTAACAATCAATCGTTTCATGACCATTCATATGTTTGACGATTAATAGCTGATTTTACATTGCTACTTCCAGAGGAGACTGGTTTAATTATCAAGCCAAGCTGTGGTAAACTGTAGTGATATTATACTTTGAAAGAAATAAACCACGAAGAACATAACAGAATGTGAAGCATATGAATGGAAATGGGGCAGCCTATTAACAAGTACTTCAACAAAAAAATATTTAGACTTCAAAAATAAACGCTAAAATAGAAAAAGCTGCATTTGGGCCAGAATAATAAACTACATTTATGAAAATTCAATAATGCGAACTTTCCATCTTAGGCAATGTTTGAAGCTTACACATTTATAATCATGACCAGTTTGAAATTTGTTAAAAGGAAACTAGGCATAAAATTTCACAT